CAGGGCGAGCTTCCTGCCGTGTGAACTCCCGCACGGAGGCTCCGTGTCCCATCCTTTGCGTGGCTGAGGCTATCCGTTCCTAATTGGGACTTTAACTGGCTTCCCATAGCTCTTTTCAGTCGTGCTAAGCCCTGCCAATTCCCTGCTCACTGGGTTTCCTTGGCAACTGAGGGTTGTTGTGGTTTTTGTTGTTTTTTTTTTTTTTAAGAGGAGGCACAGGGATTTGGGAAGCAAACACCAAAATGAGGGCAGAAGGATAAAAACGAGGATGAACCTTTGGGGATTTTATTGCTGCTTTTTTTGGGAGAAAGAGCATTACTTTCACATAAGAGTCATACTTTCCTGTCAGATAAATATTAATGCAGACTTTGTAGCATCCCAGCCCATTAGAAATTCCCTTTCTTCTGAGTCAAATACTTTTTTTATGTTTTTACGTGAATTGAACTGAGAAACTTCATTTCTTTCTTCAAAATCTACGGAGTCCGTAGTGAGAGAGTGATCCAGGAGAATGTATCTTAACCCATAAATGGACTTTGACTGCATTCAATAATTGGATTCAAATTTGGCACTTCTTAGGCTGCAGAGATTTGGACTTTCCATTAACACTTTCACTGCTCGGGGACCAGCTGACTTTGTCGTCATAATTGTTGTCAGATACTTGCTAAGTTAACAGACCATATTTTCGAGCAGTTGGTTGTTGGTCTTGTAATTCTTCTGGTTTCTCTACCTGAAGACCACGATTTTTCCAGCCCCTGGTCAGGCAGTGGTGTCCCTGGCAGCACTCCACTGTTTTTAGTGCTTGGGGGAGCCACCACTGAGCACAAGCTCATGCTCTTCCCCTCTCTGGGCCTTGTCCCCTGCAGAGGGGTTCACGTTCAGGGTCCCCACGTCCAGCAGACCCAGCTTGCAACTTGCTCTAAGAGGAGATCAGAGAAATCCAAAGTTTGCAGGAGGTGCCAAGACCTTTCTTTTCCGAAGTCTCTTTCTGCTGTCACAAGGACGTTTGTATTACGAACACCACCGTTTACAAACCACCACCACCAAAATCGCAGAAAAACAGACTGAAAACCACCAAATCCCAATGAAAACCAGGAGCCTCAGCCCACGCAGAGCTGGGCGAGCCGCCAGTGGGGCGGTGAGGTCCACCCTGGGCTTTCCTCTGCTCTCATGGCTCCTACGTGGAGGCAGCCAGCGTAGACAAACGAGGGCATGATATTCTTTGGCAGATAATGAGATAAAAATGGTGAGAGAAACCAGCTGTAACTGTATTTGTTGTTAACACACTGTTGGACTGGGCATGTGTCCTTGCTTTAAACACGAAAGTCCTCCCATTGAAGTTGGTGGGGACGGCAGGAGTTTGTATTGAGGTTTGTGCTCACTTACCATGGTGGAAAGAGCTTTTATTTACTTTGAGTATCCCCTTTTCTCGTGTCGGTGTTTTAATAGCCCATCTGTGGGTCTTCAGTGTCAGTGTGAGCTCTTTTGCACCAGAAGACGCCCTTGTGTGGTGCATTTTCTAGGTCTTGGTTGTTCAAAGTGCTGGATGAGTCCAGGACACTCTGGACATTTTCAGCAGTTCTGGCTGATCACGTTACCAAAGTGACGTGGACAGGGAGGCAGGAGCAGTTTAGCAAAGTTGATTTCTTCAGGCTGGCTGGGCTGAATGGTCCTTCTCACCGTTCCGTAGGAGCCTGGTCTCCAGAGATGCCACGGCAGCACCTTTACAAGCACTGAATCAAGTAAATTGTTAATAAATTGAATAAAAGTGATGAATGGCTTATTCTTGAACAGAAATGTACTTCTGTTAGACCTGGGTGAGAAAAAGAACCTTAAATCGTACTGTCTATTTCAGCACAGGTTCAGCCTCAGTTTTAACAGTGGCTTTAGCCTGGATTTTAGTGGTCGTTGGTTTTTGCACATGGGTTCAACGTCCCGCCTGTGGGAACGCCGGATCCTGCCGTGTCCCCCCAGCCTCCAGCAGCAAAGGCCCAAAGCTGTGGAGCAGCTCCGTCCCACGTGTGACATCCCGTA